TGTTTATATAGGTAGTTAGCTATATGTCTACTGCAACGGAGTGATTCTCTGGCCTGTATGTGGGATTAGAAATTTGGCACTCTTGAGAATACATGTAACATCGTGTCCTTGGAACAAACAAAATGTTAATCATGGGGTGAAAATTGTTGAAACGACTAAGTAAGCGAATTATGGAGATGTATTCTTGATACGCTGTGTGTACAATACTGTCCGTGTATAGGCCTAAGAATCGTCGATTGTAAATTGTAACGACAAGGAGGAATATATATATATTTTTTTTTTTTGTCGAAAAGTCCTCCGTTTCGGACAGCTACGTTGCTTTTTATAGTCTTCTTTTTTTTTTTTTTTTTCTTGTCACGGCTGTAACTTGCTGTTGCACAGTTGGCAATCGAGGTTGGCTCATCGCTGGAATTGAACCAAACGCGTGCGGTCAGTCTGAGAGCGATTTTTCGAAAACGATGTTCAGGTAAACGCGGAGCGCAACAAACGGCGATATAATTTGTATAAATACTTTATTTTCTTTCGTAATGATTCGATTAAAAGTAAGTTTACTTATCTTGTGAATTGTATAACCCCCATTTTTGGCAAATCAGAGGACAGGCATTCTTACGTTACAAATTTCTTTACGTAAGCGGCGAACGATTTGGTCGTTTCCTGCTCGTTGATTATAATACCAAGGCGCAGGAAATATATGTATAGTTCACGGTGTACTTAACGATATTTTGTAACTGAACGTGTGTAAATTAAAATTTTGCTAGACCCGGTCGTAATCGTAGTCTCGCTGAAATTAGGTTAACCTCTTGCGCTGGCAACGGACGCTGGTTCACGGACCATAACGAGTGACCAAAAACCGTATATACAATAATTCGTCGCTTTCTTTTTAAACTACCGTCGGTATGATATCACTGGATAGAAAGAAGTTATAAATTTCTTACTAAGAAAGTAATAAATTTATTATCTGTTGCCTGGGTTATATCCAAGTATATCTAAAACTGAGACAATATTGCAATTTTGGGACAAAAAATTCTCGACGTGCGTGGCACGTCATTCCAGCGCAAGTGGTTAAAGAAAGACTACAACTTGACGGACGAAATATTTATTCATATTCTTTTCACTAATAAATAAAACGATTAGTTTATGTATAAAAAGAGAGAGAGAGAGAAAAAGAACAAAAAATAGCATCCTTTGATACCTTGACTATCTTGATTCATTGAACGTTGAAAAGTCGATCGATCGTTTGTCAAAAATTTCACTTTCATACTTATTGCTAGTGTATGATGCATATAAATTGCTAGAAATTTATTATAAACTTATAACGTCAACAAGAGACCAACTAAGCCGTGTTTCAATGTGTCTTT